GTTCGCTTCATATTTTAATATATTGCGTTTTCTTAAACAAACTATGGTGCATTCCACAATTTGCCTGCTGTTGTTTTTCACTTTTTTTAAACCTCGTACAAAAAATTCCAACCCTTTGGCACCGCATCGTGATACTCTTGTTTGATAGGAATGCAATAACAACTATATTAATAATTTCATAATAATTCATGTTTTAATTTATTTTAAATTTTTCTGCAGCATTGAGTGAGAATAAAACTAATTCCATTGCAGCTTTAAATTGAAATATTCTTTTCTTATTTTGAATCGTGTAAAAATTAATGCATAAAAATTACTAAACAGGTCGTGGTGGTTTATTTAAAAATATCATAGTAATCTGCTGTTTTCTTAAATGTAGATACGTTTGAAAAAAAAGTAATGCTTGTTGGCAAATTTATATGGAAACTCAGTTGGCTACAAGTTGTGGCCTATTATTTTTGGCATTGAATTTTGTGCGGATTTTTCCTCTTGGCAACGCTGCAGTAATTTGCACAGCAAAAAATAAACCTTGCATTAGCTTATAGGAGTCAATTTAAAAATTTCATAGCTTTTTTTTTACAAACACTCGCGAGCAGGCATATAAACGTATTTTTTAAACCGGTGGTGCGTTTGTTGTGTTTACTGTCGTGTCTGCTTTCTTTGTTTCCAGTGCATTCCTGCACAGGGGTGCAATAAAGCAAATCGTGGCGCCAGTCTCGTCCCCTGCTTTTTGGGGGCAGCAATTTCGTGTTGTGCGTCTTATACCTGGTGGGTGGATATAGTATTACTGCCACCTTTCCTCCTCTTCTTCTCTGCAGGTATTGTTGCACTTGAAGTAACACAAGCAGGGAACATGTCAAGAAAAAGCAGCTCAGCAGCGTCGTCTGCACATAAGCCTCCTGTCGCCTGTTTTTCAGTTGCTTGAAAAGCAGAAAGGATGCACACAGGTTCGGCCACAAATTCGTTTTGCCTGCCGCACCAGGTAGCAATCCCAGGGAAAATATAACATGAAACGCGCCCAAGAGAGCGGAAAAGAAGAAATTTGGCGCCAACGTGCGTTTGGATCGCATTCAGTGGCTAATTGGAATGCCCGCGGTAAAATTATACAGTCCGCGTGAATGGCGGAAAAACCCTAAGTGACTTGGACGACGCTTTTACTAGGCTTGTATAATTGGGTGCGAGAATCGACACGATAAAATTTCAGAGAGAGTCGTCGCCGAGTCCAATTGAGATTTATTATTCGATTTCCGAGCGCCAGCAGAGTTGGCACCGATGCAAGAATGACGCATCGGTCAATCAAAGCAATAAAACGCTCAAATTTGTTTATTTTATTGGCTCATCAATACGGAATCGAGTTGCAATCAAATAATAATTATAGTTAATTTATCAAATTAAATGATCTAGTTTGGATGAAATAATAATTTTAATTAATTTATTCAAATCAAATTGTCTTCAAATATATTTCAAACTCAATTACCATGTTTAAAATTTTACAATTTTCATTTTATGAATTCAAATTTTATTTTCATTTGGTGTTTCAGCTTTTCTCCCATATTTAAACATCCTGGAAAGTGCCGCAAAGTTCGACAGATGAGTTTTTACAGCTTATGAAGCAATATGAAGTAAATTGCAGTCTTTATTGACCGTGGAGCTTGTTGTGTAAAATTGAAATTGACGTGCGCGCGATTTTCCTGGTCTGCACTTGCTAACATTTGATTATTCCTCCCGAGGCCAAAAAGTGCTGGAAAATCTCCTCAACTCACACACTCATCTTACGTCTCGTTATTAAATTTTATATTTATCTTCGCAACAGCACCGTGTACGTCGAGTGCATCAGCAATCAAGCTGCTAAAGCTATGCAAGTCACTTTTGCGCCCGCTGGAAATTGGAAACTCGGCGCGTCTTCTTCCTCTTAACTTCTTTTGGTTGCAGCAGGCAAGGTTAAAGGAGTCATCATAACTCATCATCTCGGCAAACTCGTTTTTTGCATGATTTAGCCCTCTTGTCGGTTCGGAGGCGCTTCTGCTTATTTCTCCGGCAGCGTCTTGAGAGACGCTTTTTGCCGTGCGCGGCCAGCCTTCATTATTCCCAAGCCGATGATGAAGCACAGCCGCTTTTAAATGCTGCTGCTTTTTGCCTGTATGTGTGGACAATTCATGCATGAAGATTAAGAGAAAAAAAATATTCAAGTAATTGCACACGAGGTGAAGGTCAATGCGGCTTATTAAAATGTTGGCTTCTTATTGTGTCTGAAGACACAATTTTACCCAGCACAGAAAAGCTGAAGTTAATTTTTTTACTTCCCTGAATAATTAGCGAAAATAGCAGTAAAAGATGCATGTCTCCAATAAATTTTCTTTGTATGAAGAATCTTGTTTTCCTCGTTTTTCTTGGCATTTTTAATTGTTGCAAAAATTGAGGTAATTGAAGCAAGTGCGGTTTGCGGGTTTTATGAAATCACATGAGCATTTAAATCCGCGTGTGGGGTTGTGAAGACGGATATTTTGGTCACGAGAGGGTTTTTCTTTGTGGTTTACTTCAGTTGATGAAGCAGAGTATTATTTTTACGCTATTATGCGTAAGATACCGCAGCAAATAGATAAGGCACCGAGTGGTAAAAATTACGAATCAATTTAATTAAGTCAGAGTTAAAATTGATCTTCATGATTAATACATAAATAATTTTAAAGGAAATTGAATGAAAATAAATAATGAATTCCTTAAAAAGGAAAATTTTATTTTAAGTTGCTACACTGAAAAATTATTGGCAATGAAATTTATTTTCAATTATGAAAATAATAAATGACCAACAATCAAGCATAAACTTTTTTTTATAAATTTTCACTTCAATTAAAGTATGCTGAAAATAAAATTTCAAAAGATACAATTTCTTCCTTTATTTGTTATGTTATAAAACTATTAGTTCTTTATGCACTTGCATTATTCATAAATATTATTAATTGTCTTAAATTTTTAAATGTTCTTTTTTGGCATCAATTATAATTATAAGGATTATAATAAATTGCTTTACTCTAATAAACTTCTCACATCTCCCACACCTGAATAAATGACGCGATCAATAGATTGTGATCACCCAATGAGAGCAATGAATATTCAATCTCAAGCCGCGTGGCACTGAATGTATACAGAAAGGTATTACAAGTTGAAAAATGTTGGCGATCGCCGCGAACGACACGATTTCTGCGTGACCCGATTGCTGCAGGCAAGCTGCAGCACAAGTGAAAAATGATTAGAATGAATAAAATAATGCGATGTATGCTGTCTTATGTGAAATGCCAAGGCTCAAGTCGGTGTGCGCGCGGAATGGAGCGGATGCATGCATAAAATACTTCTTATAGTTACGGCCACGATAAAGAAAAAGAAAGAGCGAATGAATGCAATTCGAGTCGTGATCGTGAAACGGCGAATTGGATGCAGATTTCGACACATAGAGCGGATTGGAAACGGAATTGATAGGAGCTCGTAAATTGGTGATTTCTGCCAGCATCTGGGCACCGGAGCGAGAAGAAAGAAAGGTTAATGACGAGAGCATCTCGCCAATTTGGTTTTGCTGCACCTCACCTGCCGTATGTTTTGGCCAGGGCCGCGTGCTTCGATCGCGCAAAATTATATTGAAGGTGCGGTGTGATCCGGTTGTTCCTTTCTCTTTCCCCATAATTCCATATTAAATTGCTCCTGCCAGAGATGAATAGGATAATATAATTCTCTCGGTGTAACGCCAAAGTGCAATTAACCCTTTTATACTCTACCGCGTAATTTATTTATTAAGGTGTGAATAAGTTTTTAGCGAAATTGAACCAACGCCTCCGTTTGTGTTTATGCATTGCTCGGAACAATGGCGTGCGCGAAAATTTCAGGCAAAATTATATGCGGATGATAATTAGCATTTTTTGAGTGGGAATACACAAATTATAAAACACCGCCTTTCTGTCGTGCACTTGCAACATGAACTTGCATTTTTATTCAAATTTCCGTTGCATAATCTGAGTTACAATTTGGCGGTGAGGCGTTTCAACAGCAGAAAAGATAAAACGTCTCGACCGCCGAACTACTTTATCGGTCTATATTAGACGAACACGCCTGGGATGAGCGTGTAATTTATTATTCCGCTCAAGGCGAAAGAAAAATGAAAGGATGCTGTGCGCCGGCCGTTCTTTAAAAAAATGCCAAACTATTCCAAAGTAGTCCGGTTGGCTAGACGTTCCATGATCATTTTATTATGCATGCAATAAAAAAGCGAAAGCGTTTTTGCGATGAATTTTTTCCATTTCCAGAGCTTTATAGCCGAGGAAATCGCTGGAGGAGACATGAATGACTGCACGCAGCGATCATGTAATTTTGATCGAACAACTCTCGAATCCCCAGCATCTTCCGTCAGAAGTGAAAAAGAACTCTGCGTCAGAAAGAGATGCATCTCTGTCGAATTTAATGACTGGCGTCAACGAGAGAAATCCCGCAGAGCGGTTGATGGTGCTGATGAGTTTTTGTAGACTCGGGTGAAGAGAAACCTCTGCTGAAGAAAGTGAAAATTTGCTCCTCTTGACTCGTTATCATTCTTTCAATGCATTATAATAAAAATTTCTTTTCATTATTCAATATCATTTATTGTTTGTTTTATTAATTTCATATACTTGATGCAAAGAAAGTGCTGCACGCTCTCAGCTCTTAATTTGAACAGAAATGAGCATTTTGAACTTGTGGAATTAATTTATGCATATTTTAATAACAACTTTATCTTGTCCTGGATTTTTAGTGCATAAAATTTACTCAAATTACTTTCTTATTATATATAATTTAGGTATTTTTTTTTCTTAAAAACTGAAAAACGTCTGATTTATTTTTATAAACACTAGAAATCATTTTATTTCATCAGAATATTATTTTCTCATACATAAATGAAGCACACAAATCAATAAACTGCAAACCCAACTTCTTGTCGAATAACATATATATTATGTGTATTGCTGGTAATGAGAAGTTGAAAGTAAAAAATCCATACAAGAGCCAATCTCAGTTTACATACAAAAATACGCGGGAAACCCATGCACAATAGCTGGTGTTTTTTTTTCAATTTTTTTCTAGGGTCGTGTTAGGGAAACAAAAATAAATATTATGACTATATCTACATCTATATTATCATTATATAAGGCAATATAATAATAATATGAAGCGCAATTATCACTTGATTATTTTTCCACGATTTATTCCAGTATGCATCTGAGAATAAGTCAATCAATCATTTTTTTTTTCAAGTATCCATCAGAAGGACGTGCGTTTGTTGATGGTTTGTAAAAAGTTAAATTTGTCGAAAGCCTCGTCTTTACCAAGCAAACTATCCTTGCAAAAAAATAATATTCAGTGTTTAGATTTTTTACAAAATAAAAATAATTATAGAACGGAGATAAATATCTGTTTAAATCATAAATAATAAGTTATGTAATCATACTATAAATACACTTTTTCTTATACGACACAAATAATTAATCAAGAAGAGTACATCATCATCAATCAATACATTTAAATTTCAGTTCTTTTGTAACGCAAAAACTATCAGTAGTCCTTCATTATTAATTCATTTATTTATCTTTTAGAAAAGTGTGAAAGGGAATAATTTATTTTTACAGTACACTTGATTTGCTGGATATTTACAAGGGGTCTGGTTAGTCGATTGCTGCACTACGGCTAAAACGTTTATTTACGAAAGCTAATGTTGAAAAACGGGGCGTCTGAGCCCCCGCGTGAAAAAATTATAATTTAAAGAAAATGCGGTAGAAGAAAAAAAAAGAGAAAACATTGTTATTGCTGCACAGATTTACGAGGAGAAGAGAGTAAAATCATAAATTATAATTATATATCGAGAGTGAAAAGCGCGTGACCTCAATTCTCCTTCATCCGTCCTCCAAGCAAGCGGTAGTAGCAGTAATAAAATAAATATACACAGTAGCATCCAAGCGGTCAAAAGCCAATTCCTTCCACTCAAAACTGACTCGCTTTCTGTTTCCATTTTCCCTGCGGAGGTAAATTTATTCAACAACAACACAACTCAATCAATCATTTGCTAATTATTGTATAAGTCATGGCAGTTGACGCCATGGTGGTAAGAAAAAATTATGGAATCTTTCTCCGTCCTTTCCGATTTTGGTCCCGTTCGACGTTAAATATATATTACGTTCTTAACTATACATATATAAAACATGGCCATCGTTTGTGGTTTCGGTCGCTATTCCATAGCTCTTAAAAATTCGACGAATTATTTAATCAAGTGAGTTCGGGTAAATTAATCAAAGGATCAATCAACAAGTTTGGGGTTAAAAAAAAAAGAAAGCGGTGCGCGCTGTGCTCGTTTTCGTGTGAAACAAAATGAATGAATCATCTCATCGCTGGTTAAAAAAGAAATTCTTAATCCACTTGCAAGTGTGTGTGCGTGCGTATAATAAATTATAAAATACAAACATCGTAATTTCGGACGTTTTACATAATAAATCGAATGTCAACCGTTGAGCTACTAAATCTTTAGCAGAGCGAAACTAAAGGATCAAACCGCACGTCAGCGACTGCTTCTTCTTCACAGGACATGTACCCTGCTCATCTGGTTGAACACAGGCAGGCGGTCGAGGGGCGAGGGCGGCGGCGTGTTGGTGTTGGCGCTCAACTCCTCCAGGTCGCGGTTGGCGCCGCTGGCGCCGATCTGCAGCAGCGTGGCCGTGAACTCTGGCCCGAACGTGAAGACGTTGCTCTTGGGCGTGGCCACCGGGGTGTAGGGGGTGGAGGGGAAGAGCAGGTCCGGCTCCGAGAAGAAGCTGGTCAGGCTGCTGGTGGGCGACTCGCTGAGGGAGCACGGGGGCGACGGGGACTCACCCTGAGAGCCGCCGTGCAGACTGAAAGCGGAGCCGCCAAGGGGCACCGGCTTCGGACGGGCGATCATGGACGCCATGTTGGTGGGCGTGGCCCCTCTGATTCGCGCCTCTTCGGCGTTGTGGATGAAGTGGCAGCGCGGGCCGTAGGGACAGAAGCCGCTCGTGTGGAAGGTGCGGCACAGGTCCGTCTTGTACTTGGGGTGGCGGGCCAGGTTGCGCAGCTCGTGGGCGCCGTGGGCAAACTGGCACTTGTCCCCGTACTTGCACACGCCGCTCTCCTCGTACGGGCGGCACAGCTCGGTCTTGTAGCGACTCGTGTTGACGTTGGTCGGCGACGTGCAGACCAAACTCTTGTCCACCGGCTCGCTGTGGCACCTGTCCAGCTTGCGGTGGCCGTTGATGCCGTGGCTGCCGAGTGACTCGATGGTGATTGACGGACTAGCGGGGGGCAGGCTGGCGCCCAGCGCCGCCATGTTGCGTTGCGGCGGCGTCGAGTTGCGCCTGCTCAGCGGCTGGTGGCCGTTGCCCTGGTGGAGGTGCAGGTTGTGCTGTTGCTGCTGATGGTGGATCGGACTGCCGACGGCGCGGTTGTCCAGCTCAAAGTGCACCTTGAGCAGGTTGTGCGCCATCACGTTGCTTCCATTCTGCGAACACAAGAAAAATAACCATTGTTATAAACATTTGCAACAAAATCGGGAAAATAAATCATGTAAAAACCGAATGTACGATTTGAAAGTCTTCCGCTTTATTTGTGCTCGCGAGAATTGAAATCCGCGAACAAAGAATAACCCAACAATTTCTGCTTTCCAGCTGAGAATCGATTTAGGATTTAACCGTGGCATGGGAAGAGAAATCTGTTGAGAAAAACAAATTTTAGAATTCTCCACGCTTCCGTGATTGTTGGCAAAGAAGGGATTTGAGCCTCCCTTTGTGCCCGACTTTCTTTTTTATTCCCTTTGGGGGCGAGTTTCATCACACACTGTTTTTCTTTGCGAAAGACCCTTTTCGTGTAAAATCTGTTCTGCTGTGCTATAAAAATACAAGGCTTCAAAAAAAGGTCGGTCAACTTTTGAGAGAATTTCACCGCTGTTTTTTTTATACGGCCATCCCTGGCTAATGCAACAGGCATTTCCTCCTCGATTTTACAACCTACACGCACTGGCGTTTTACGACCGCCGCCTCGCTCTAGGTCAAACTCTCTTTAGTTAAGGTCGCACACTTGTGCGAAAAGGCTACTCCTTCCTGTGGGATGCTTCACAAAGCAAATAAAAGGCAGCCTTTGTCCCGGCCCATCTGGCCCGATTTCACACCGAAAAACAAAATATCAAGGGTGAAAAGTATTAGGAAAGGCAGAGGAGGCAATGCTCGAAATTGGGCGGTTGAGAAATCGAGCGAACCCTTGACTGATAAGACGCACTAGCAGCGGCAGAATACGGCCTGATAACAAACTGTTCACTATTATAAAAAGGACTCGAGAGTTAATCACTTTCGCATCTTATCGCGCAAAATTACGCCTCTCGAAAATTAGCCGGGTCGAGTTTTGTGCAGAACGTTTGCACGGTAGCCGCACCCTGAGCTCCCCATGCACGTGACGGTGCTACTAATTTCATCATCCCGAGCATGACTGCATAAAAACGTGCATTCTGATAAGCTCTTTACGCCTTAAACAGATTATTTTCTCCAAGAAACAAACAAGCCATTCCCAAGCGGAAAAAAATCAATCAGAACATAATTCTAGAGCGTCAAGTTGTATTTTATGATAATGAGTGACAAATTTTTGTTTCAAATATTTAAAGCGCAATTAATTGCAAGAGATATGATGAAGATATTCTCCTGTTTTCAAGCACTACAATAATGTTATTTTGAAAATTTATAATTTATATTTTTAAACTAACAATAAGTTAGTTTAAAATAATATTTTTATTTTCTCTTTTATTTTAAATTAAGAAAATCATTTTCTATGTCATAATGAATAATAATCATTATTGCTTTATTACATTTTATAATTAATGAGATGCCTCTTCCACTATTTTAAGTTATTTCCTTTTTTTGTCATCTTAGTCAATAAAGAAATTTTAAATTGGAAAAAAAGAGAAGAATTAATAAATAATTAATAAATTTGAATTTTATTAAAAAGTTAATTTATTTAATTTTATGTCTATATTTTTTTTCAGTGCAGACCAAATAACATGTCCGCAAATTATTCCAAGTAATAGTAAAACTTTGGCTAAATAAAAATTAAAAGAGGAAGCGATTTAACTGTGGGTTGGCAAATTATATTTCAGCCGCGTTGAAACAAAATAGGAAGTGAGAACGCGCGACCCGATTCGGGGACGAGTTGTGAAGCTTGACCATAAAGCTTTTTTGTTAGAATGTAGCCAGCAAACACACTTCCGACTTCGTTAGGTCCAGGCAACGTGTAGCGAGTGAAACGTGTTTTGGTGTGTATTGAAAAGTGCAGAAAAAAATCACAGTTGCCTATTTTGCACACGAAGGGAAAGAAAACTGAACAAAATCGAGTCTGGCCGGCTAATCAGTATTCCGTGGGTGATGCGCGCGGCAAAGCGGCGGCGGTGTTGCCACGTGAAGGAGAAAGCCTTTTCCAATTTACTCGGCACAACAATGAGCGTCGACTTATGACTCGCTCGCTAGCTTTCTTTCAATTAAGTTTCCTGTCAGAGGGGTCACTCCGTCGCGATCGCAGGGGGAAACAACGAGCGCCTAAAAAGCGAGCTCGGGCTGGGCGACACTTTTTTGCTTGAGCCTTGAATATTTAATCAGGTTTAGTCGTCCCTCTGTGCGCACCGACGCGGGGACTCCTCTGTATATAATAATGCGTATTGTGGCCCTACAGCGACGAGTATTATTTTAATAGTGGTTTAATGGCTCAGATCCTTGAAGCGGCTCGACTTAAGTGATGGCCCAGGGCTTAAGAATTGGTCGTAAATTGAGATTAATTGAAATTTGGAAAATAACTCAAGGCATTAGCTTTCTGAAGGATCTTTTTGTTTTGTCAGATAAGAAGTTGAGATTGTTGTTAACATCTTTCTCTATCATCTCTTCAGAAATTTCTTAATAATTTATTTTTAGTCTCTTGAAGAGAAACTAATTAGCAAAAAAATCTAAATTCTAATATCTCCAGATTAATTTTGGATAAATTTAACTGTGACTTATTTTAAATCCTGTTGAATAAAAGTTTGCAGGTGCGAAGTTTGTGCTCCAAATCACGAAAAACCTGATGGTTTATAATTAGTCACCGAGTGAGTCATTTTTTTTCTGCGTTTCCTCTCTTCTCAAGTGCGCAAACGGCTGCGAGCAACAATCCTTGCTCGCGAGCAAAGAAAAACAAAGGGGCAGCGAGCGTTGATAAACGGCTTTTATTTCTGTGATAATTAAATGCCGCTGCGTTTCACGCTACCATAAGCACCGGCAGTGTAAAAATCCGAAACGTGAATAAGTCGTGATTCTCCGCATAAGACTGCATGCAAGGCAGGCACCCGGAACCAGCATCGGCTAAAAAGCAGGCAGGCACAATCTATACCGTATATACCCGCCTATCAACTTTCACTAGGCGTGAAGGTCACCTACAGACACATACACACCTATGGCAGCGGCTTTGTTAATCTGCTCGCCGGCTTAAGCATCGCCGTGATGAATTATTATTTATTACCATTTTTATCTGCCAAGTGTTTTTTTCCCTCTCGTCTGCCTGTTTATATTCTCATCGGATTTCTTTTTCCACAACTCACGCCGATGGGAACACGAGCGGATGGGAATAATTAGGTGAAAAAATGTGAGTTTTATGCAACTCTTGCACGCCAAAGTGCAGACGTTGCATCTTTCAGTGTTTGCTGCCTCATCGTCCGGTTCTACCCTCACAAGACAAGTTTGGATGACTTGGTTAAATTTCCATGTCTTTTGCGTCTTTCAATTTTAATTTTACATTCTTCGTAGTAAAATCTTGAAAGCAACATTTAAATGTGTTGATTTATTAATATTTGAATTGGTCAAATAAAAAAAAAATTGATAAAGAAGAGACGCAAGAGTCTCTATGGAAAATGGAAAAAAAAAATGCTACGGCCCTGCTTTCTATATCCGAGTAGTTTTTGTTTTTAACGGATGAGAAATTTCATATATATTTTTGCTGCTCTAGTGAAAAAGCTTCTCCGTTTCCCAGGCCTGAAATCGAATTCTCTGGTTAAAGTCTCGGCACAAAACGGCGGAATCAGCTCAAAAAACGCTCTGGCTGCAGCTTGGAAAAGCGAATCGGAGAACAATCGGGTGCGCACACCGCACTTTATGGTTTTGCTTTTTCACTGCTGCGACGACCGCAGTTTTCGCACCCAGCCTCGCGTCACAACCGGTCGTCATTTTTCATTCAACAAAATCGAAAAACCCGTGACAACTCGACGCAATGGCCGTCGCTGAAAAACAAAATGTGCACCGGCGTTGGAAGGAGATTTCCAATTAAAAAAAAAAAAAAAAAAAACTATCTGAAAGTAGTTCCAGAGCGCGAATGCATTTCAATGAGGGAAAATCACAACAAGGAGTTTTGTTATAAATTTTCAGTGTGTTTTTCTCCTCGGACGCGGAGGTCCCGCTGGCTGCTGTTTTTGTGTGCGTAATGTCATTTTCCGCGTGCTGCATGAGCGGCGCGATAATAAATCAGGGAAAACAACCTTGGGCCCCGAGCTCTCTTGGGTTTTGCTTTTGATAACGTGCAGGTACAAACACACACACATGCCTGGTAAGTAATGCAGAGAGATACGGCGGAGGCGAGCGAGCAACCTGACCGTGAAAATGGTCGCGCTAATGACGAGCAAACAGCCCCCTGGATCAAGCGCGAGGCTGTTTGCTCGCAAAATATTTATTTTCCATAGATCTTTCGGGGTTTCACTCGCACAGCGTTGTTTGCTCAGGGTCGTTTCCCGGAATGCACTTTGTTCCTATTTGGCTTCGCGGAGAAGCGAGAGATCTTGAAGGTGAATCGTAGGGTTGGCAGCAGAAAAATAAGATAGGAGCAGAGAATGTGTGCAGAGGGGAAAATTAGAGGTTGAGCTTTGCAGTGTCACAGAGAGGAAGGCAATAAGCGTGAAATATTTATTATTTGAGGCGAAGGGAAAATTTTAAACAAATGTCTACCAGAAATACTGATGCAAGAGCTTTGCTTTTTTTAATATAAATAAAGATAGGCAATGATTTTAATCTGTGAATCACTTGAACAAATTTAGAAGTTCCGAGAATGTGAACGATACATCTTCTCATGAAAGAGCACAGTCCGACCGGCACCACAGCATTTTTGCCAGATTAAAACTTGTTATTATTGATGGAGCCGATAAAAATCTGCCATCCCTCAGCAGGCGTGACGTCAACATGCATCATGCACGTACATAATCAGAAAAGCGGCCGACACATGGGATCGAAGAAGAAGCTCTCTTTTATCTCTTGGATGAGGCGAAACCGCTGCACGATAAAACGATAAACAACTCTTGCGAAAATGACCGATCGATATTAAAACTGTTCGCCGGGCAATGTGGCGAGCGTCCATTAATTGAGTCTTATCTAAACGACCGCGCAGCGTGAAAATGCAAAAAAAAAAAATGCTTCCAAATCTGCGTCGCACACTACCCTCGTGTGGGGGGCC